TCAAAAGGCTTCAAAACATTCCTTTTAGGTTTTGTGTTATTCATTGTCATGTAAGGGTCTTGCATAACAATGCAATGCATAACAATGCATAACATCTGGAGTGATTCTTTGAACACATTTAAGGACAAAAATGTCAGCCAAAACCAGAAAAGATTGTTGTTTTCATGTAGTGGATATCAGCATATTTAATGTCATCTATTAATTTGCACATTATCTCCATCTTGTATAAATAAATGCCAATTCGGCTGTAGAAGTACCTAGATACAATGTCATTTTCTAGACAGAACCAGAACATGACCATTCCTATTAATTGGCTTTAATTCTTCACAAAACATGCAGCGGGAGACACAGGCGAGGAAAACACAAAATTATTGTGCTCGGTAGGAAGGCAGAACTGTCTTACGGCCCTGAAAATGCTAGCCAGGCAGCTGGGCAATCATCCTGCAAAACCAGAAAGAGTTATTTCACACTGAACACCCAGCATTTCCACAGAGTGTTCTTGAACTTAATTGCTGTTTCTCACCGGCTGTGACCTTTATGAATTGACACCAAGCAGGAGGTAACTCAGCCACTTTCAGAGTGCTCCCCCAGGCAATTTCATACTTCTCAAGTATTCACACCTTCCAAGCTTGAAGAGAGTGACAGGCGGAGCAGACTGGGTTTTAATGGGACTATTAGATATGGGGCTCCACTTAGGAGAGACAGCTGCATTTAGATCTGGCGTCCTGTTTGCATGCATTCGTGCCCAAATCTGATGTTGCTCATTGGCCAGAGCACATCCTGGCTGAGACCTCTGGGTTGGTCTGCTTGACACACTGAACTGTGCTTTAAAATACATTTAGTTTCTGAAGCATAGCAAAAGAGAGAATGGCTTTCCTTCTCTTGGCAGACGTTCCTACAGCATGGAGATGTTGCAGGAGCAGTGTCATTTGGAACCATGCTTGCCAAGAGAGAAATATTGGACAGCTTCTCTACTCCACAGTTCAGGTGGGGTGCGAGAACAGAGATGAGATATGAATATTCCTCCTTGTGTTCAGAGTGAAACATTTTGACCTTTCATGCCAATCAATAAAATATTCTGACATTTCCAAAGTTCCAACTGTCACTACATGTACCTTTTGCAGGTCAGTCTGTTTCTTCTAATCTCACATAATTTCCAGACTGAAAGTGGCAATGGATAATAATTGAACTATTGGGCAAATAGAGTTAACATATTCAGAACTGGCGTTAAAGTGATCCCATGGTTCATTATCTGATTTTTAAGCCTTTAAGCATTCCTTTCCAAAGAACAATTTTATCATTGCCCCAAACTGAGAAATAAACCAATTTTTTGTTGGTTCAAATTGCCTCAAAGCATCAAATCAAGCACAGAAAGGTTTGGTTTTCAATGTAATTTAAAAAAATAATGTATATTTTCTCATTTGGGTGATCCTGGGGCATCCTCAGGAAAAGAAGAATGGCAAAGACCAGGTGAGTCAGGTGGCATTATGCATTTCAGAATGAATTTAACAGAAAAATCAGTAATTTTTCCACACTTCTTTAGATCTGAAGGTAGGAGAAGGAATTAGGTCCAGAACGTTCCAGGATCTTTTGCATGCACAAATGGCATCATTTACAGCTTTTTAAAATGGAGGAGAAAAGAAATCAGAAATAAACATTTTGTAAGTCCCATTTTGCTTAATTCAAGTTCTAACTGGTCCAGACTTGGAGAATGTGTGGTCTTCTGGGTTTCTTAGATTACAACTGCCATCATGATTAACTATCAGCTAGCTAGCTGAGGCTCATGGCAGTTGGGATCCAAAAAAAAAACCATCAGAAAGGACACAAGTTTTCTCCCTGCTCTCCGAATACAGGCAAACAAGCAACAAACTTTGGTTGCCTTGCCCATTAAAATAAAACAAAGCTGTCTATCCCCACTCACTCCCACAAACAATCGAAAGCTTACCCTATTAGATACTTTCATATTTTTTTCATATTCTGGAAAATCCTTATAACATAATAACCAAGTTTACTCAAATGTAATTTCATCTTTCTAACTAAAGGATTGTAATTTGAATTAATTTGGTTCTGGAGAAGCAGAGGAAAAAAGGTCTGGGTTTAGAGCACAAATGCATCTCAAATTGATGGAAGAAATAGGATTATCTATCTTCTTGAGGCATGGAGGGGAGATCTAGCAGCTGTGCTTGGCTGTCCATTATAGGACCACACAAGAAAGGGTTTGATGGGAAACACAGGCTCAGATTATAAGCAAACAGAGTGTACAGTGTGTTCCAACTTTACATACTGTTGTAAATATACATAAATTTTGGTTTCGAGTCCTAAGAAGAATTCTACGAATACAGTGGACAGCCAAGAAAGCAAACAAATGAACCATTGAACAAAACAATCTAGAGTTTTCACTTGAGTTGTAAATAATGAGCTTCACATTATCCTAATTTGGACATATTACGAGAAGATCTAGCTTTCTGAAGAAAGTACTAACGTTGGGAAAAGTGGAAGGAAAGCGAGGAAGAAGATTAATGGCAAGGTGGATGGACTCAGTTAAAATGGCAACAAGTGCACCTTTGGATGAAAAACTGAAAGATCAGATTTGGAACAGATCATCAGGGAGAAAATCTATCCAGTATTTAAGAGCTAACATTGGCTTGATGGCATGTAATCAAGTAAATATATAAAGCTCCTTAAGACTGTCTATGGTTTATTCTGATAAAATGCTCTTTTGTGTATAGTTTTTTTTAACTAAATGCAGTAAAATAAAATTACAGGCACATGATAACAATTTGTTAGTCAGAAAAGGTGGTACCAGACGCCTTTTGTTTTTTTTGCCCCCATAACATGGTCCTCCTCCTACAATGACTAAATGTACGTAACTGTTTAAAAATGGACATTTGCCAGCATGTTTATGTAAGCACCAAATGCATTTTAGCATCTCCTGGGTGTTTTTCTTAATATAATTTTATTTAAAAAAATTTAAAAGAAAATAAAAACTCATAAAAACTAATATAAAATAAGAAGAAAAAGGAAGAAATCAAGGACAAAACTAAAAATGCAAGAAAGAAAAATAAAAAAATAGAAAAGAAAGAACAATGATACAAAGAAGTAACTTCCAATTTCCACATTTTTTTATAGCAGTTATAAGTACATGTATAAGTTTACCCTGTTTCACACAAGGAGTCTATAAGGGGTTTCCAGGATGCAATCAATGTAGATATTGTCTTTTCTCTGATCAAGAAAGTCAGTTTGGCCATCTGAACCAATTCCATCATTTTCACCAACCATTTCCCCATTCCCTCTCCCTGACTTTTTAATAAATGTAAATGTCATTGCCATCCCTTCCTCCAGGATTGTCCAGAAGAACAAGGTAATGTGTGTTAATTCAGCACTGAATTAGCAGTCAGCTCTATCCATCCTTTGTTCTTTCTGGAAAACTGACCTACTTCATGGGCAAATAGGGACAATTCTTTAGAAATGCCTCTGAAGAGATAAATTAGACCCATTATATGTTAGCCACTTCTAAGAAACAATTGCAATTCTTCTTTTCCTTATCCCTTTCCTCCTCCTCCTTCTCCTTAACCCATGAATATGTTAAGCCATCATTCTGGGAGAACCATAAGTAGCCCTATGGTGCAAATTACACTTTGTTCAGAAGGCAGAAACAGATCTCCAGGGTACTATGAAAAGGAGTACATTGTATACTTGGGTATCTAAGCCCTGCCAACTGTCACAGATTTTAGTGACATGAAAGAAAAAGAGCCTCACACAGCTCATCAATGAGTTGACAAGTCCTAAAAGGACTCATTCTCTAAGGACAAAAATAACATTTTTTTTAAAAAAAAAATTCACAGCAGGGCTTTCGCCCCCACACACTGTACCAACTAAAACCTGTGGGGAGAAAATGTAAAATGCATTATGTAAGTGTAAATAAAATCAGCCCCCATGGTTAACTGATTTTAGAGCTGTTTGCTCTTTTTTTTTTTTTTTTTGATAGTATCCTCTTTGGTGGTATACATACAGGAACTGTTTCCACAAAACACCCAAAGGAAATTGTACAATCCAGACAACCGTTGTCACTTTGCAGGAAAATTTCAGGGGCTTCCTACAAACCAGAGATATCATCCTCTTCTTAGTCAGGCTGCAAAGTCAACACCACTCTAAGGTAAGATCAGCATTTGACTGCTGATCAGAATGTGTCTACAGGAGATCTGCCTACAATCCTTCAGCATCTCTGCCCCAAGGAAGCCCCAGGCAAGCAACCCTGCCTGGTATTTAGAAAAGGAGAAGGGAGAAGCACTAGCCCAGAAAGGAGAAGAGAAAGATTGTTTAGCACCAGGCTCTGGAAAAGCTACTCTCTTTAAAACAGGGGTTCTCAACCTTGGCAACTTTAAGACTTGTGGACTTCAACTCCCAGAATTCCTCAGCCAGCCAGCAAAGTCTTAAAGTTGCCAAGGTTGAGAACCCCTACTTTAAAAGCAACTTTCACGAGCTGACTCCTGTGTTTGGCAAGGTAGGCAGGAAGAGAGGAAGGAAACAAAGATATAGATATATTAGGCAAATGCATAATGGATCTTAGAAAATTCAAACCAGTATCCTGCTCCTGCAGTGACCCAACAAATACCCCTGGAAATCCTTCAAGCATCACCAAACTCCCATATTCCCCGTCAACTGGTATTCAAAGACACATGCTGCCTTAGAGACTGAGGATATTGTATGATCTTTAGGGCTGAGCACTCTTTGAAGGTGACTCAAAAAAAAGTGTTTGGACCATGTGAGATGCCTTAAAGTACTTCTACTTGTCCAAGACCGTGTGCGTGTGTGTGTGTGTGTGTGTGTGTGTGTGTGTGTGTGTGTGTCTTCAAACCTGGCCCTTTCATGACTCCTTTCATGACTTGTGGACTTCAACTCCCAGAATTCCTCAGCCAGGCATGCTGGCTGAGGAATTCTGGGAGTTGAAGTCCACAAGTCATTAAAGGGCCAAGTTTGAAGACCCCTGCCCAAGACCTCTGCATGGGCCTAAAAAAAAGGTACAATTACTTTAAGGAGTTGATTCATTCAAATGAATCTTTTAAGGAGGCCAAACTTTATTTTTTCAGACTTGCCTCAGAGCCAAATATCCTAATTTTTCCAGATTACTAAATTCTTTTTTTTTTTTTAGAACACAGCAAGTGTCAACATGACTAAAATATAAGATGGCAAAAAAGTTTCTGCTAGACAGACCAACAATCACCTTCATCCAGTCTCTGTGTCCCTCAGGTGCCAGCCAGATGCCACTGGAGATTCCTAGACCATTCTTCTTTATCTTCAACACTTCATTTTATGGTTTGAATATGAAGATTTAGTTTTACAATCATGATTAACCAAAATATCAAGATGGTAGATAGCTTCTGCCTTTTAGCTAAAGGAGCAAGCTGTTAAGAAATACAATATGTTCTCCAATAGCACTTGGCAGAACCTGGGAACCAGAACCACAATAACTTGGAAAAGGTATTCGGATGCTCTGATGTATCTACACCTACGAAGATCAGAATAATCTATGCAACTCCCTGTCACAATCTATGAAAGCAACAGTTGTACTTTGAAGAAGCAGGATAGGAAGAGTATTGACATTTTTAAAGTTTGGTGTTGGAGAAGACTCCAGAGAATACTGCAGGCAGCCAAGAAAACAAACAAATGGATTAGTGAACAAATCAATCCAAAGTTCTCACTTGGAGTTCAAAGGACCAGGCTGAAAATGTCCTACTTTGGACACATTATGTGAAGACTTAGTTCTCTGAAAAGGCTTTGATGCTGGGAAAGGTGGTAAGAAAGAGAAGAAAATGAAGTGGAAGACCTGAAGGACCATATTAGGGATAGCACTAACACTAGCACTTAGACCTATGTACCACTTCACAGTGCTTTATAGCCCCCTCTAAGCGGTTTACAGAGTCAGCATATTGCCCCCAACAATCTGGGTCCTCATTTTTCTTTAAAAAAAATTCAGCTAGTAATCATCACATTTGTAAAAATCAATTCTGCCATTATGAAGAAATTCAAGCATCTGCTCCCCAAACAGTAAGATTTGTAATCTAATCATGAATATGTGCATAGTTTGTTTTACATACAAATTGACGTATGGAAGCAACTTGCAAGTATTCTTCTGTATTCTGAACAGATCTATAGATGAACGACAGCTCCTCTGCAGTACACTCATAATTGCAGAAAAGAAAATCTGCATAGTAAAAAAAACTATATAAGAGCAGTCGTACAATGGAAGTAAACCGATCTGTCAATCAAATGTAAAAATTCAACTCTTATCAACTCCTTTTGCATATATAAGACTATGCTCTTAGCTCAAGCAACACTCACAGTGTTTACTGATGCCCCTGCCCACGTTTACAAGATGTTTGGCTTTATACATATTCAGGGGGGAGGGGAAATTGCACCACGCCAGATCTGCATTTTAACTCTGATAAAAATAATTGTCCCAGGTCTTCCGTATCCACACCCACAGGCACTAAAGTGATCAGAAGGAGGCAACTACAATCTCCAGGGAGAAAAGAATCCACAGTCACTTTCTCAGAGCAAAAATATTATATAAGATTATTTATGGTCAGCATTCCATGAGTCAATAGCAAATAGAGAACAATTTCATCCTTAAGCAATTCTTTCCCTGGGTAAAGAACAATTTCATCTTTGGTTAAAGACTGAGAATGTATATTCTTTCCACTAGTTCCTGAATGGCACACTTTGGGTATCTTTTCTGCAACCTTTTAGAATGATTAATTGAACATTAAGTACCATCTCATGTCATAACATTTAAAAGGAAGGGACTATGTCAAATAGAGGTTGCAAAGTCTGCCCATATTCAGAATCAGCAATGTTGGTGCTGAAATTGGGGAAAAGATGAAGTGGGATGGATTGGCAGACTTGGTTATCCCTACCTCACAATAGGGGAGGAAGAGCTGATAGTCCATCTCGCTTCACTCCAAGTTGAACAGAAAGAGGAATACTCTACTGATCTTCCCCCCCCCCCCAACTTCCATTTTTTGGAACAGCCCTGTTCCAACCTGACTTTTGGTAAGAACCCAGCCTGCCCCATCTCAGATGCGGTTTGACATAAGTCTGGTGTTCAACTTTTTGAAAAAGGAGCGTAGCTTACAGATCTTGCACTTCTTTTTCCGTTTTTTGTTTTTTGTTTTTCCATGCCTTCCTTCCCACCTTTCATCCTCTTCTGTGGCCCAAGGTCCCCAGGCACCACCCTTGAAGTCAGGGTGAGCGCGTGGGTTTTCCGCAGGATATCTGACAGGGATGGCTGTTTGGTTGTAATTGACTAGCCTAAGAAGCAGAGCCCTGACTACTTCGGGACGCTGGTCTGACAGATCATAGCGCTCGTACGGATCGGCTGTGATATTGAAAAGCCAGACAGACTGATGCATCCCATCTGTCAGGCGCTCTAAGTTCCACCAACTCCCCGGGAAGGTGGTCAGAGTCTGTGGCGGGATCCAGTCACTGTAGCCAGGGTCTCCGGTAAGAAGTTTCCAGTCTCCCACCCTTAAAGAGGCCTGTACTGCTGTGTTCCAGATGCCAAACCCATTCTCTAAAGAGCCATATTTGGCATGATTGTACAGAGGATCGATGTTGTGCAGGATTTCACTCCGTGGTGACTCTTTGCCTTCACTGATAGCTGGCCACACATTATAGCCATCCAAGCCATCTGCTTCAGACACATTGCCTCCAGCCAAAGTCACTAAGGTTGGGTACCAGTCAGTTATGTGAATGAGCGCCCTGCTGGTCCTTCGCTTGCGTTTAATCAGTGGACTGTGGACAAATCCAATGCCACGCACTCCTCCCTCCCAATATGTTCCTTTGCGGCCTCGCAATGGCCAGTTGCTTCCCCCAGAGAATGTCTGCCCTCCATTATCTGTAGAGAAGACAATAACACTGTTCTCATAGTAACCGTATTTCTTCAGTGCCCAGGTGATATTCTTCACAGCTTCATCCATGCATGTGACCATGGCAGCATATTTGCGGCGGGCAACGTTTCCCATGGAGCGATAGCGATAGATGTATTCCTTTGGGGACTGCAAAGGGGTGTGCACCGCCTGGAATGCTATGTAGATGAAGAGGGGCTCCTTGGGGTTGTGGGTTGCCAAAATTTTTCTGACTCGCTGGGTATAAAGGAACGTGGAATACTTGCCACTTTGTTCCCAGGCTACATTTTCCCCATCATGAAGGTCATACCCACATATTCCCGGCCCGTCACAGTTATCGTATGTATAATAATCCACGTTTCCTGTCAGAGAGCCCAGGAAGGTATCAAAGCCCCTGCGGGTTGGCAGGCATTCTTTTCGATAAAAGCCTAAGTGCCATTTGCCAACCATGTGAGTAGAGTAGCCGGCTTTTTGCAGCTTCTGTGGGAGAGTGACCTGGTTCAGAGGCAAACAATTTGGCTGTCGGGGACGAATGATTGAGTGCTGAAGACCTGTATGGATCTGGTACCTAGGAAGAGAGATAAAGAAAGCAAAGACATCATCTTGAACTGCAGCATCTCCATCCCCCATGAACCTACAGTTGTGCGCCTGAAAAGTAGGTTTCCCCAACAGAACATTACTTCTACCTGTATTCCTTCTAAAAGCTGCATGGCAGTAGGTTCAAAATGTCCAAGCTGTAAGCAGACATAATATAATGGATATCTATAATGGATATCTATTTCCAGGTATATTTGTATACATACATGTAGCATAAACACATTTTTGGTTTTGTAGTAATTTTATTAAACTGTACAGTTAAAAAGATGAAAGCTAAAACAAGCTTTAAAAAGAATAAAAAATAGAAAGTGCAGAAAAGAAAAAATAAGACTATAGTAAAGCTGTGTGTGTGTGTGTGTGTGTGTGTGTGGTTGGGTGGCTGTGACTTCCCCTTTCATCACAAATATAAACAATGTTAGTATAGTTATCACCTTCTTTTAAAATACAAAATGATCCCTTCTTCCCATATCTCATTTCTTATCTATAAAACTGTCTTTAAAGTCTTGTCATTTCAGTCCTGATGTCAGAAATGGTCCATTAAAGGTTACCAGAAACAGCAACATATTTTAACTTTGATCAAATAAACTAACCTTATATTCCTTTTAATTTTAATAACCTCAATCTTTAATCTTTTTACAATAATGTCCTTAAACTTTATTTCTTTTCATTTTTTTTCTCTCCCTCCCTCAGAACATCATTCTTGAAGCTTTAAAAAGTCTCTTTTGTAAACCAAATATAGGAAAGTTATCCAAGTCACTTTTTTGGTTTATTAGTGAGTTATGCGTATATCCCTTTTAAACGTAAAGGTAAAAGTTTCTCCTATCCAGTTGTATCTGACTCTAGGGGGTGGTGCTCATCTCCGTTTCTTAGCTGGAGGGGGGGCTTTGTTGTCCAACGACATTTGTGTGATCGTTTGGCCAGCAGCATGACTATAGATGCTGAGGCACATGGAATGCCATTACTTTCCCATCAAAGTGGTACCTATTAATCTACTTGCATTTGCATGCTTTCAAACTGCTAAGTTGCCAGGAGCTGGGGCAAATAACAGGAGCTCAAGTCTTCTCCTTGCCCAGAGGAATTATGAAGAGCCAGTCTTCTCACCAGTTCTTCATTCCACTTGGTTGTGGGCTCCTTTTTTAATGGAACCATAATCAACTATCAGGTTTGCCCTTTCTTCTCTGGAAGTTCACAAAATACACATATTTTTAAAGGATGCATAGAATACAGTACTGCTCAGTTCCAATGCTTTTCAGGACTACTTTTAAGCCATATTACTTTTTCATTTATTTCTTGATACTTGCTCACCACTCCTATTTTCACCTCTTTGTTAGACTTTACCTCTAATTGAAAAGGTTAACCGTGTGCTGAAGTTTCAAGCCAGAGATGGTAAAAATAACAGGAGCAAATAATGGAGCAAAAACAAAGATCAGTCTGTTATAATACTTTCCGGATGATTATGTGTGCGTATAGATTCAAAGCACAAAACTGCAGTGAACATCAGTGCAATTCCAATTTAATTTCTGGAAGATATTCATAACCTTTCAAAATGGTGCAAATCTAAAAAGACTGACCCGAAAAGAATCCCTAGCAGGATTACACTCAGCAGATAGGATCAGTGTCCTCAGATACATCTTGAGTGTCATAGAATCACAGAATTGGAAGAGACCTAAGAGGTCATCAAGTCCAGTTCCCTACATACTGCAGAATTCCCTAATATATGACTATCCATGACACTACCAGTAGTACTCAGGCTATGGTAGCAAAGTAAAATGGTCATAAGTGCAACACCATGTGACCTCATGGCTTATCAACAGCAATCCTGGGTGATTGTTAACCCCACAACCTGCAAGTTATTAAGCAGGAAGAGGCGGGAGTCCCAGATAAGGTGCATGGGAGTGCCACGGGAGAAGGAGGTTGACAGGGGAGGGCATGAGAGGACCAGTGCAGCCATGTATGAGTTGGGGAAGGTGGGAGGACCAACGTAGACTACATATGGGTTGTAGGAAGGCCCGGGATAGCCAGTATAAGCTGCAGGAAATGGAAGAATTAGGGAATAAGCAGAAGTGACATACTGGAGTGACTTATGATTCTCCCTACCAACTTCCCCATTGATTTTACTCATGGGAAGCTGGCAAGGAAGACTAGTGATTGTGTGACCATGACTGTCTTGATCCAGTAATTGTGAAACAAGTACTCCAACACTCAGATCTTGATTGTGTGACCACAGCAGTGCTGCAATGGCTAGAATTTTGAGGACCACTTATATATCCATGTGTTCAGCACTGTTGTAACTTTGAATGATCCCTGAACAAATGGACATAAGTCAAGGACCATCTTTATCTGTAACTATATCTGATCCACTATGTATAACACAAAGCCCAATGAGTTTCACATGCCAGGCAATTAATTCAATATTACAAATTCTGCATAATACAATCTCTCTTTTTTCCAGATGAGAATAATTAGATATGTTTTGGATAGCAAGTGAAAAACCCAGCATAAGCTTATTATGAGACAACACACCAAGGAGAATAGCATCTTTACAGTCTATCGCCTTTGCCACCACTAATGTAGGGAAGCATATTAAAATCTTCAATGGTGCTGATTGTCTGTCTTACTGCAGATTAGATAGCATCTGCCACAAAGGGTTTTTGCATCGATACTTCTGGCAAATTCAGAATCACAATCAACACTATCTAGAAAGTCAAAAGTTAAAATTTGAATGGTTTTTGTTTTTAAGATTTACAATGATTAATATTTAAATACAGATATTGAAGGTAGTCCTCAACATACGACCACAATTGAGCCCAACATTTCTGTTGTGAAGCAAAAAGTTGTTAAGTGAATTTTACAACTTTTCTTGACATAATTGTTAAGTGAATCACTGCAGTTGTTAAGTTTGTAACACAGTTGTTAAGTGAATATGGTTTCCCCATTGTCTTTGCTTGTCAGAAGATTGCAAAAGGTGATCACATGAGCCCAGGACACTACAACCATCATAAATAGCATTCAGTTGCCAAGCGTCTGAATTTTGATCATGTGAACATGGCAATGCTTCAACAGTCATAAGTATGAATTCATTTTTTTCAGTGCCATTGTAACTTTGACTGGTCACTAAATGAATTGTTGTAAATTGTTCTCATTTAGTGACTACAACTGGGACTGGCAACTCGGTCATCAGGTGAAAGGCTCACAAAGTGAAATCATGACTGTGCTTATGATTTTATTTCAGCTTTCCTTTGCTTTACAGAGCTGCAGAGGTTGTAAATGTAAATGGAAAGGTACTTTTTCATCACTGTCATAACTACAAATGGTTGCTAAACAAGGCTGTATTGATCTCCTTAATGTTTCGTATAGACATACTTTGTTTTCTGAAAACTTTTATTTATCATTTTCAAAGGACTTAGTCCTTTCAAAACTGAGGTAAATTGAAGCAAAATTTCTATAGAGTTTGCTGCAAGGGAAGGAATGGCTTTTTTTATATATATATTTATAAATGAATTGTGCAACCCGCAGAGTGAAATCACATTCATAGTTGCTTAGAAATGAAGCCCAAAGGGCTTATTCCCGGATAAATGGTATAGGATTGCAGATTTAATTATCTCACTGAAATCCACTGTATTATTTATTTTGGAAGTCATTTATTTAATTTTGTGCTGTAGAGGGAAAATATTAGTATGTTATATAGCACCTTAAATACTTCCAGATTTATCTTGGTATAAATGCTCATACACTAGAAGCCGTATCACCTTATTCACGGGTCAGGGCCTCCCGCTAGTTTGGCTCCAATGCACAAAATCTGAGTCTTCCATAAGGTACAGCAGTACTCTATAAGTATTACTTTTCCTCCATTCAAAATATTTATGGAAGACATCCACATACTTTTTCCTCGCTGTTAAATTCTATGTCTTGTGATATGCATGCAGCTAATGGCACTCTGAAATTGGATACAAAAATAAATGAATGGCACCAAAGATAGTTTAGCTAGCCACAAGACAAATTTCGTCCTTTCTAGAAGTGTCATATTCCCTGTTTTAGGAAAAGTTTCATAGTGAGTCCTTTCTAATCATCCCATCAATTCTCCAATCTCCAAACTTTTCTTTCCTTTTTCAGGAATTACCACTGGCTCTGAATCTGTCTCCCTGCCCCATCCCAACACACACACACACACACACACAACACGACACATACTGTTGATTTGGAATGTGTAGCTGTGGGAAATTAAACGTGTTCTGTGTTTTATGTCTGATAGATGCTTGGATGATGAAAATAAGGCCAGTTTCTTTGATTTCTGGCTCTTGAACAGCAGAGCAAGCCACTGAAAATCTGGCAAAACACAAAGATCTGTGCAATGCAGAGTTTCCACCTAGAATGTTCATTTTGGTGTTTGGCGAATATGTAGGACTGGACCGTAGGACTACTTTGTAGCGGCAAAGCGAAGAACACAGTTCATGCAAAGTTTGAGCAGAAATTTTCATGACATCCTCTCTATCTGATAGATTTTAGTTTGCTAAGGAAAAATAGTTTATTCTGGGTTTTAGGAAGCAAGATGTCTTTTTTTTTCCCCTCTTTCTTCCCCCTGTATGGTACGTCATATATTTAACATACCAAGGATGTTTCCTAGACTGAGTCCTCAGGATCAAGAGGTACAGTGGGAAAACCTCCTTCATGAAATATATAAATGGACTTCTGGTCAATGTTGCCAGTACTGGACCAATAGACTAACTCAAAAGAAAATTTTTGCTTATGTTTTCACAAACTTTTCAGTGGCCTATCTAATCCAATGTTATTATCACAGATATGAATATTGTTAATCCCAAGCCAGAACCATATCTTTAAAAGGGATGCAAAATTGCCTTCACTGCTAACAACGTAAATGAATTTCTTGGGTTAATATTAGCGAGTCAAGATTTGAGAGGCTCTGATGAAATCCTGTTGATTCTTCAGATGCTGCTGCTTCTGTCATCATCATTATCATCCATTCTATAATTGCATTGTAATTGTATATACAAGTTTTAATTGTATGTACATGTACAACTTTTAATGGTATGTGGCATAATCCTAATGGTAACCTGGCAAGGGAGATCAGTAATACTATTTCCATATAAAGAAGGTGCAAACAATGTAGCGTAACTTTTTTCAAGATAAACTTTCCTGAAGGGAAAGTTGTCTGAACTTAAAAGTGGTATGTCCATCCTTTGGGTAACACTGTCTGTACACCATTACTGTTACGTTTTAAAAGTCTAATCCTATGAAATACAACCAATGTTATTACTCATTATTATGCCTCATTATTACTGTTTGCACACCAACCCTGTTCTGATTTAACATTCTAAAGCAGTGAAATCCATCTACCGTTTTTTACTCATTATTACTCATTACTATGCCTCATCACTACTGTCTGCACAACTTTATAGTTCAAATGCAGTAAAATCCATCTAACCTTATCGCCCCATTAAAATATTCAGCTCTTAACACTTGAATTTTGAATCCTGAGGACCACATTATCTCTTTAAATATAGCGTGGGTTAGGTGTTTTTTGTGTTTTTGTTTTGTTTTTTGCTTTTCTCGATCTGGTTATTCATTCAGTCCCCCTTTTCTTTCATTTGAACCTAACTTATACAGAGTTTATCCGGGGGACGGTCCTTGGCTGAGGTTCATGAGGCTTCCTGCGGGCTCCCTCTTCAGCAGCCATCGCGGGGCTCTTTTCCCTTCGGCTTCTCCCGTCCAGTCCCCCCCGTGGACTGGAGGCGAGTGGCGTGGAAAGACTTGGCGCTTCTGCCCCCTCCTTACCTTCCCGTGATAAGCTGGCTCCTGGAGGGCGTGCAGATGGGCTGGATGTAGTAATTCTCCAGCTTAACCCCTTCGGCAGCCAACCTGTCCAGCGTCGGAGTCTGGATGTCCGAGCCGTGGTAGCCCACATCGTGATAGCCCTGGTCGTCCGTCAGAATGAAAATGATGTGAGGAGGCCTGGAGAAGGCAGGCGGGAGGCGAGGCTTCCCAGCCGGGTCCCCCGAAACCTCGGTCACCAGACCGGGCTTCATCCAGTCCCAGGATAAGTAGCCGAAGCTCAGCAGGCTGGCCAGGGAGAAGCCAGTCAGGGCATAGACGGCCATGCTGAACCGAGCCCGTAAGCCTGGATGAGAGGCTCCTAGGGGGCCGGCATCCCCTCTCGCCAATGGGGAGAATCTCGTCAGGCCGCCCGTCTCAGCCAGCTGGGTTTCCTTTCGCTCAAGCAGAGCGGAAGAGCGGCCGAATTAGTTAAAATCGCCCGCGGGAAACGCCTCAGAGACGGGATTCGTAGCGGCGGCTCGAGGAAGCATTCCGGAGCAGAGACTGCGTTGTCGAGGGAGCGAAGGAAAGGAGAGGGAGAAGCGGCATTCCCGCCAAGTTTTGCGGGGCTGTCAGCGCGAAACCTTTCGCCCAAAACAAGTCTCAGAACTTCTCCCGAAACTTGCGCCCAAGTTCAACTGCATCTCCGCCGAGTCCCCTCCTCCTCCTCCCTCCTGGGCGGCGGGTCTGGGCTTCGCTTTCTTTACGCCCAGTCCCGACGGAAAGTCTCGGCCAGGAGCGGCTGTCATGTTGCCTCACTCCTCCCTCGGTGCCTTCCCTTCCCCACCACGTTTCTTCAGATCTCCCCGCCCCCGTCCCCCAAGTATCTCAACCTTCTTTCCCCAACCCCAGTCCCGCGTGCTTCTTTGGAAATATGGGGGGGGGGGAGTGAGGGAGGTGCAACGCAGCCAGGGAGAAAAGCCCCCTTCGGAGCCGAACGGTGAAAAAAATGTGAGAAGTTCTACACAACATCTGCCCAGGGGATCGCCGCCAGGTTCTGGAGGGAGCCTGAAGACTCCGCTCCTTTCATTGATTCCAGGGAACCGGCCGGCGAGATCTCCGCCGCTTCCTGGGTCCTAAGACGAGTTCGGTATCCGTCTCTCCGGTCCAGTAGATACCAGGAGTCAGTTCTTCACCTTGTAAAAAGTAGTGAGGTCTCCTCCTAGCCAAATTTGAATTCTCCCGAACTATAAGTCTGATCCAGTATTGTATGGGCAGCGTCATAGAAATGGTTTGCCACCCACAACCCCACTTTTTTCCGAGGGTTTTCCCAGACTGGTTTCAAATCCTAGGAATCCGGGGGGGGGGGGAGAGAATCCATCCAAGTTCTGATTACAGCTAAGCCTGACCATGTTTAGCTTCCCAAGTCCAGTTTAGGTATTCTAATGAATTTGGGAGGCTATAACAAATTTAATAAATTGAACTGTATTGAATACACTCGCATGCAAAAATAGCACCTGTCAAGGCTCATCAGTTAGGGCGACCTTATCTGGGCTGTTAAAAATCAATCAATGCATGGCATCAGATACTCTTAATCCACCTGCATTGTGCAAAATGGCCCATGGAATGTCTAATTTTCCATGTCAGACACACAAACAGAGATTTCTTCTTCTCCTGCCATCTTTTCCATTGCCAGAGAGCTAGGCAGTGGCTGGAACTACACAAGTTTACCACCATGGTTCAGTAAATTAACATAATGTTCAGACATTGCCCAACATATAACCCACGAGATCTATGATTGGGGACTGCCAGTGATCTGTGAGAACATTGTAGAGACCAGTTGCAGGCACCAAAATACTAAGGCTCAATTTATTGAGAGACTGCCCCTTTTATTTATTTTATATTTTATTATTTTATTTATATTTTGGTTTTGACACCTAGAGCTACAGGCAGTAATTGGTTCGACAATGCTACCAGTTGTTGGCAACTGGCAGAATTACAAGGATATTCTGCAAACAAGGTAGATATGGTAGACTTTTAAAAAAATAAATGATGCTATAATGTTTCTTCATAACAGAAAATACTGTATCAGGAACTTCTGTACCCATCTAAAATATGATAAACCAGATTGGTTCTATAAAGCAGATTTTTTTTCTAGTATGATTGGTATTGTGGTATTCTAGAATCTGGGATTTTGGGATCCTTCTGATGGATCCTTTATATTGGACTATATGTATCCACTATACAAAAGTGCTGTGTCACTGTTGATTTTGATAGTTTCTTCCCAGGCTTCCCCGACATCAAACTTTCTCCTGGGTGGCTGAATGGACTCAGACATGGAGGAAACATTTTTATGAGAATGTTTTCTGATCTTCTCCTAGCTTATGTTCCAGAAATTAGTTCTCTGAAGAACTTTAGGTCATTCTCTGCTTCCAGAGCAGATTTACTTCTACATGTTTTGGGCTATGGTTTCCAGACAGCAAACAATTATGGTAATTAGGAATTGTTTTTTAAAGAATTTTATTAAGGTTATCATGACACAAAATACGAATGTAAATAAAAATGATAGGGAAATAAGGAAGGTGGGAAAGAGGGAAAGAGAAGTGTAGGTACAAGGGGAATCAAATTCTAACATTTTTCAGCTCAGTAATATACAAAATAAAACTACAAAACTCAACTTTTTACTTTACTAACTTAACAAATACTAGCAATTTCTATAACAACAAACTGTACTAAAGAGCAAAACCCAATGCAAAAGTATATTAATTACAGATAGTCCTCAACTATCTGTAGTGACAGATTTTATCTTCCTGGGCTCAAAGATCACCTCAGATGGGGACTGCAACCAAGAAATTAAAAGACACTTGCTCCTGGGGAGGAAATCTATGGCAAATCTAGACAGCGTACTAAAAAGCAGAGCCATCACCCCGGCAACAAAAGTACGTATAGTCAAGGCCATGGTTTTCCCAGTTGCAATGTATGGCTGTGAAAGTTGGACCATAAGAAAGGCTGAGCACAAAAAAATTGAGGCTTTTGAACTATGGTGCTGAAGAAGACTCCTGCGAGTCCCCTGGAATGCAAGGCAATCAAACTGGTCAGTCCTAGAGGAGATCAACCCTGACTGCTGCTCTTTAGAAGGCCAGATCCTGAAGTTAAAACTCAAGTACTTTGGCCACCTAATGAGAAAGAAGGACTCACTGGAGAAGAGCCTAATGCTGGGAAAGATTGAGGGCAATAGAAGAAGGGGACGACGGAGAATGAGGTGGGTGGATGGAATCATGGAAGCAGTAGGCCTGAGCTCAAATGGACTCCAGAAGATGGTAGAGAACAGGAAGGCCTGGAGAAATGTTGTTCATGGGGTCACAATGGGTTGGACACATCTTCGCAACTAACAACAACTAGTCCTCAACTTACAATCATAATTGAACCCAAAATTTATGTTGTTAAGTGAGAGATTTGTTAAGTGAGTTTTGCCTCATTTTATGACCTTTCTTGCCACATTTGTTAAGTGAATCACTGCAGTTGTTAAATTAGTAACACTGTTACGTGTATCTGGCTTCCCCATTGACTTGGCTTGTCAAACGGTCACAAAAGGGGACCACCTGACCCTGGGACACTGCAACCATTAGTAAATGCATGCCAGTTGCCAATGTCCGAATTTTGATCACGTGACTATGGGGATGCTGCAACAGTCATTAATTGTGAAAAATGGTCATAGGTTATTTTTTTCAGTGCCGTTGTAACTTCAAATGGTCACTAAATGTACTGTTGCAAGTCAAAGACTACCTATAATATATTAGTATGCTGTACTCCGGTATTAGTATATTGTAAGAGTTGTAGTCCAGTGCATCTGGAAGGCATTTAACTGTCACCACTTCAGTGAAGATGCTACCCTGGATTTCCCCTTTTGAGAAAAAACCAAACTGTAAAAGAATGGGGCACATCTTTGGGCCCATATATATTAATGGGTAACAACAGCAGATTTTGCCCCACTTTTAGGGAAGAAATCCTGTCAGTGGAGAGCACATACTTTGCCTGCAAATGATGCTCCCAGGTTAATCCTGCACTCATTTAGTTAAAGTAAGGATGGATAAACCTTTTGCCATACTTGAAAAAAAATTGGGGAGCTAAGGGCTACAGGTAGGTGGGGTCACAGTACATGTGGTGGATACAGATTTGGTTTGGGAAAGAGATTTGTGGACTTTTTCTGCTTCTTACCTTTGACACACCTATTTGAGGACTTAAGCTGTAACTTCTCTTGTTCCCCATTTCAGGATAGCCAAAGGGCCCTCAAAGAGAATGGGCTTGATGAGGGCCTAAGGCTTTAGGCATGACTGCCTGAAGCCTTGGACAGCTGCTGCCAAAAGAGGAATTAGAGGCCTCATGTCCGTATCAGTCAGCCATCAAGACTTGTCATCTAAACCTCTGGAAAGCATGAAGCTGTCTATTCTCTGCAGCATTAATAAGCAGCATGTCTGCTTGTCTGCATAAAATTGTCTTGAAGATGCCTTTTTATAAGCATGCATCCACAGCCTTCCTTTCTTCCCCCGCTAAGGCCAGCTAACTTTTTTTTCTCTAATCGTTGTGAAATTAGTGCTTTATCTTCCCTTAACCTATATGTATAAGTTCACCCACTCAGGTTGAGACAGCATGGGCTGGAGTCTGCTCAGGTCAAATTGACTGCTGTGGTTGTGCAGGCAAAGCCAGACTCTGCTCTCTGGTGACTACCGATTTCCCTCCACAGCTATGTTTATTTGTGCTGTTGGATTGATTTGAGACCAGCAGCACCAATATTATTGGAGGATGCAGTAGACCAGAACTTCTCTAAAGCAACCTGCCTGTCAGTCAGCATATTTCTACACAGATCTGGCAGGCAGGCTACACTGAGCAGCTCTTATATTTAAAAGTTCTGACAAATGATTATCACTTCCTCCCCTAGCCTCAGTCCTCATTAGCAATTGGTAAAAGTTTTTCCTATTGATAGGGAAATTGGCCAATTTCTGCTTTAACATAGCCTGCCCTGAACTGCTGGCCCCATTTGGGAGGGAGGGTCCAGCTATGTAGACAGGGAAAATAAAGTGCATTAAGCTGCCTACACAAAATGGGCCAGGCATCTGAACTAGTCAAGGTAGATTCTTCTCTTTCTTACTATTTTCCAGCCATAAGTAACAGGTCTGAATCGAGAGTAGAAACTGATGTCATGATGATGGGGAAAAAAATGAAGTGCTTATTTGCATGAAATATTTCCCGGAGATTGGCAGAATATGATGAACTAAAACATGGTTAGCTATTTTGTGGTTCCATGTTATACGATACAAAGGCAGTTGGTTCAGTTTTGCTTTAGTTTAATGAGTGGCAGAAATGCATGCAAGTGAATTCAATGAATTATGATTCAGGTAATTAAGGCTTTGCATGTTGTGTGGACACACCTGTTGAAAAGCCTCAAAGCAGTAGGAGAAAGAGAAGCCCTACCAGAAACCTGACAGTATGTAAGGCATAACTTTTCTGTTTTGCTGCTAGAAATCCAGTGGATCTCCACCTGCCCATTATACTAAAATCAATTAGGAAAAGACAGCAGATAGACAAACCACAAAATAATATGGGGTATTAATATAAAGATTGTGGCTTTCCCATTAAAAAAATGTTGAACAAATTCTCCTACTTAAAACAAAAGGAGACAAATTTAGTCTGCTTAGCTGCTCCAGTATCAAACACCACTATTGGATTAGGGTAATATATCACACGAGAGGAAAATCCTGTTTTAAACAGTCAGTCTCAAAGGACTGTCATGTTCCAAAGTGTTTCAGTCCTTTTCAATCCTTGTTGAGGA